CAGTCTGGTAACATGTGACATCACTGCATGTAAAGTGAGTATGAAGAGCACTGATGGCTAATCCTGTCTAAGAGGAACTTCTGGAGCTTCTGGATTGGGTTAATTTGAAAATGTCAGAGATTACAGCACGTTTATTGCCCCGAACGGCGAAAATTGGTTCCTGCAGGTTTGTGGTTTTATATTGGGGTATTTCTCCTTTGACTCATGAAAGAAATATGAGTACGTCTTCCACTCCTGAAGATCTGCTGGTGATGGTCTTATTAGTGTTTCTGAGTTCTATTTTCTACTGACCAAAGGCCGAGTGAGTGGAACGAGCTGCAGAGAGATTATTTCTCAGTGAAAGTGAAGCCTTTTGCTGTAACACATCAGTCTATTGGAAAGTGGTGATGCTTTGATAAAGTTGGCTGTTCTAGTTCAGCTCAATTCAAAGCCGCTTTCAAACTATCAATTAGACAGATTTAGACAGTTATCATGTGACGGTAATTAGCTCAACAATGCCAAATTTATCTTATCAGCTGCAGATAATTAATAAATCTGAGAATGTACCATGAAGTTTATCGTTAGTCACTCAAGCCTCACAGAGTTATCAGCATGAGCAGCACGGCTTTTCTCCTCTTCTTCTAAGCTATGATGAAATTTTTAATTTGGAATATTTACATATTCATGCTTTTATTTCCCTTCGTTCCCTCTCTGCCTCCCAGCTTCCACTTTTCACTCGAGGCTGTGTGGTTTTCTGTCACTGCACGTCACAGGCAGACTTGCTGTTTGCTGCTCTAAACAGAGATAGGTGAACTTTTACAGGGGTTTGGACCAAGAAACAGAATTTGCACTGCACCTTATCAGGCTACCTACACGGCTGAGTCTTATCAGCTGGTATTTTGTCTCTGGAGCTTATATGTGGAATGAGCAAAATGGGGAAATATTTAGAAAGATCCCATGGTGATGAACTGGGAATAGCATACAAGATCCTACAGTTAAGGGGAAAAAAGCCTCCGCAGTCGAGGTTTCCAGAGGCAAAACACCGCCGAGCATGGAGAGATGAAAGCAGCTGGCTCTTTATTTATCAGGAGAAACGAGTGCTGCCGTGTGCCACCACTGCTGTCAATCCATCAAGATCTCTGTCAGCTTTTTCCTCTGGTGGTGTTCAAACTGCAGCACGACAACAGGAAACAGGAAATCAAAGCATTAGCACAATTTAGTGATAGCAATTTAATTGCCTCTGGAACAAAAATTGGATTAATGAGAATGATTTTTTTTTTCCATTATTGTGATAAAGCTTCCAAAACAAAACAGACACAGTTGCTGCAGTCAGGACCAGAATACTGATCAGGATAAAGGGGAGAGAAAGAATCCCAGTTAAAAACTGCACTCATTACCAGCCTGGATTATGTACTGGGCAAAGTGGGCAAAAATCAAGGATGGTCAATTGGATTATAGTTTTATTAACCTGACAGTGT